CGCGCAGTAAAAGTTTGCTACCGATATCGATAACTTGCCAAGCAATCGATAAGAATCGATATTGAAATCCTGTTTTTGAAACAAATCTCTTAGGTTTTAAGAGCTAGAGCCACCAAATTTGACATGTAGCTTTCAGAATAGTGTATTCAGATCAAGAATCTTGCATTTCATAGCTATCGCCACCAAGAAAGTTCAGTGTATCCCCTAGTCGGGCACTTCCGACTACCTGCTTACCTGTTCTAAATATTTCAAAGCTACAAAACAAGTTGAAACAAATGTTGCTTCCTCTTTCATATTCTTTATTCGAAGAACTGGCTCAGTCCCTTTCGATTTACTGACGTAATGTGTAATAATATTGAGGACCAAATCTCCAAAACCGAAAAATACTTTTATTAAAATTAGCATAATTTCTATTAATTTTTTGCTTAGCCTGATATTAATTGTATAGCTCATAACTCTCTTATTGTGTAAAAATTCTTAGAAAATTATTAAAAATTCTTAGAAAATTGGATAGAAGTTAGGGTATTAAATCTTTGCCATACTCTCTCCCTCCCTCTCCCTCTGTGTCTCCCTTTCTCTCCTTTCCTCTTCCTTTCTCTCAATTTCTCTCTCTGCCTTGCCCGCTTTCATCAATTACCATTCTCTATGCTCACTGTGACCGTTTGCTATTAATAGCAAATGAAATTGCCGCCAGGCTAATGCACAGCACTTTGCCAAGTTGTCCACAACGCAGTGTGACAGTTGTTGTTGTTGTTGCTTGTTGTTGTTCGTTCTTCTTCTTCGTGTTGTTGTTGTTAATGCTGTTAAGCCACGCGTGCTATTGTTTTTTGCCAATATTGTTGCTGCTGTTGCCATGGCACAAAAATAAAATGCAACGACGTGATTATTATGCAATTTGTATCAATTTACTTTTTATATGGCGCACAGCAACAACATATACACCCCCCCCCCCCCCCCCCCCCCCCCCCCCCGCCACACGCCACCCTTGCGAGTACTTCGAATTGTTGTTTATTTATGCATTTCACTTATTGCATGCAACTCTCGTGCCCCACCCCTGCTGAGCTAATTCTCAATGCCACGAAAGGCCGCCCTTAAGTTGGCTTTATTACAAATGGGAATTATTATTGATATAAGTGTTGGTGGTGGTGGTCGAGAGTGTGCGTGTGTGTGTTTTACGCACAGCTGAAACAACATGAAAGAACTTGTCCTAACTCCTGGGAGAAGCTTTGATGCTGACCAAGCGGGGTTGGCAGGGAAACTCACTTAAGACATTGCCGCAACGTGCCGAAAGTTTTCTGATGCTTGGACAAGCGTCTGTCACACGCATCCCCCAACCACCCAAGCACCACAAACGACACACGCTCACACACACCACCACCGTATACCACACACTATCACCCCTGTGGGGGGGAACCACACGGCTCTGGGCACTGTCACTTGTGTCTCTCAAGTTTATTAAAGTGGCATAAAAGTGTCATTGGCGGTTAATGGTAGGCGATTAGTTGCATTAAGTTGACCAGCACCACCCACTCAAGACGGCGCCAACCACTTTCTTTATCTGCCCCCACCTCATCAAGTGAGTGCGTAATTGAATAGCAAACGCAGCACAACTATCTTAGAGCAATTTAGGGCTACGGGGCATTGCCTGCCTTCATTTGGCTGACAATCAATCAGATAATGGAAGGTCAAAGCTATCGATTGTTGGCTATTCTGTTACTTATATAGTAAAATATAGTTAAATAGTTCCTAACTTGATCTTTAGAAAGCTTTTACAGCTATTTACAGTTTACTTGCATGTGTGCACACATGTGAAATATTTCCTCTTGGTAGCTTAACTCAAATTTACACTTAAACTGTTTGGGAATTATAAAATGTCATATGAGGGGTTCATGGTGAAGAGACTACTGCTTGCACACTTCTCTTCAAATTAATTTAATTAATAGCTGTAATCTTGCAACAAATGTTGAATATATATATTGTATATATGTATATACATACTGTATATATATATATAATCTATATCAGTATCAACAACCGAGTTGAAATAGCCATGTCCTTCAGTCCAGTTGTTCTTCCGTCCGTCTATCGAAATAGTCCCACAGTCTTAAGGCTGTCCTCTTGAAATTTTGCTACTCAATTGCAGGCAGTACATATGTCGGAGTCATCCGGATCGGACAAATATATAATCTAGCTGTCATAGGAACGATGGGTCGAATATTAGTTTCTTGTGTGGGTAATTTTTTTCATTTTCAAGATACACAAACCAAACTCGGCATTTAAAAGCTTCACTATGAAAAATCTTAACAACATCGGAATACTATATAATATAGCGATATATCAAGATATCTTAGCACTATCGCTCTGCCATATTGTCTAGCACTATAGGAAGCATAGGTCGAAAACTGAGAATTTTGTTTAGCCTAATATTCTACTTTTCAAGTTATTTTCATCACTATGCTTCACTATGCTCACAGGTCTGCAAAACCGTAGGATCTATATATCTATATTATTTTATAGTTTCCCGTTGATTGCCAAAATTTGAAGAGTTGTCTCTAATATAACCATATGTTAGTTAAAATAACCTGCTAAATTTCAGAATTTCTAGGTTTCGTTGAATTTGCATTTGCCTGAAAACTTAAATGCCTGGGCATCACAGTAAATACTTCGCTATAAGCAGATATCGCGTATAAAGTTAAAAAGATAGCAATATAGACTTTTGCTATAAGTGTAAATTTGTATTGCCAGCCAAGAGGCTGGCAGCTTAAAACTCGGCACGAGAACTTGGCAAAACTTATTGAAAAGTCATAAAAGCCATAAAATACAAAAAAATGTCATTGCACTGGCACAAGGGCGCCCCCCAAAAAGGGTGTGTGTGTGTGTGTATGTACGACGGGGTGTAGGCGTGGCAAAAGCTTTAACTTGTCGCACAAGCCGCATAAAATAAATACAACATGCGGATGGCAGAAGGAGGGAAGGCTGTCGGGAACGCTGGCAAATGGGATAACCTGAAACACATTATGCCAATGCGATAAACCCGCAAGCAACGAAATTGTTTTTGGCCTCGTCTTCGTCTGGCCGTGCTTTTGCTTTTGTAAATCATTTAACACGCTCTCGATTTTTATTTTAATGGCGTTGCCGGAAAGTTTTTAATGGCTAACGCAACGGCAGCCGCAGCTCAACTACAGCAACAGCAGACTTCGGTTTCGGGCCCTCGCATTATGGCCATCGATAATATGCACAGTGTTTGGCTAAGTGGCAGGCATCGAGGCATCAAAGTTCCTTTATGGCATGCCACAGCGCTCTCAAGATGTTGCCAACTCCCATTGCGAGCGATGTGTGCCTGCCTGCGTGTGTGTGTGTTTGTGTGCGTGTGTATTGAATTATTTTCTGGCAACGTTCGCAAATGTTTATTGCTCAGCATATTTCGCAATTTTTGATGCTTGTGAGTTTGCTGAGCTTTATTTACAACTTCTCAAGCACTATACAATTGTTTTTACGATCGCAATTACGCATATTTTTTGTTGGCCAGTAAAACGGTTGCGAATGCCGCTCAAGAGGGAATTGAAACAAAACTAGACATTCACAATTTGTGCATATTTAATGTAAAAATTATGTATTCTAGTCTAGGCATGAGCTAGCCCGAAATGCCAGCAGAACGTTTAAGAATGCTGCGCAAAGAGAAATTGCAAAACGCTTTGTAAACAATTTAAATATAATGAAAGATTAAGAGACTAAGCATTAAATTCAACTCTGGGCATATATGTGGTCAAGTGTTGACTAAATTTCAGCTTGCTTCCTTTTCTCTCTCTCTCTCTCTCTCCCCTTCTTACGCTCTCTCTGGTAATGCCTTTCAGCTTGCATATGTGATATGCACAGGCGTCAAATGTTAGCGGCAATGTCAGCACCAAAAGTCCTGCAGGAGCGCCCCGTGCACAACTCATGAAATCGCAATGCATTCAGCGCACACTATGTTGCGTATAGGTGTGTGTGAGTGTGTGTTAATGATAATCATGAATATTATGCTGCTTGTTTGGTGTGTATTTTGGGCTCTGGACAAACTGTTTGCCTGTTTGCCCAACACAATGTTAATATGCTGAGCCAGCGTCCCAAAAGCCAAACCACCGGGCGCATTGTTTAAATATTTGATTAGTTTTGGCTTTGGCCAGGAGTCATCTTTGCCTAAATACACATTTTTCTATATACCCTGTAGCTTCTCGTTTAGTGTTCGCCAATTTATATTCCTCTTTTATAAAAATTATAGTTATTGAAGAATGAATGTGGATCTGAGGGAAGAAGAAGAGCACAGCTGCTGTGTGTTTGCGTTCTTGTTAATGTATGTAGAGAAGGAAGCTAAAATGTTTGTAGTGCTGAGCTCAGGGTATCTACTAGTCGAGCGCTCTTACTAGTTTTTTTTGGCTGTATTTTGTCGAAAGACTTTTGTGCGCAATAAAATCAACTTAATTAAAGTTAAACAAGCAGCTAATCAAATTTTCATTACATAGTCTTAACCGGCTGCCAGACACGGCAGCCCCTTCAGCTCCAGACAGTTAACTAAACGTGGCGTAATTTCATTTTAAAAATGCATGCCGTGCATGTGTGTGCTTGTGCGAGTGTGTGTGTGCCAAACTGTGTGTGTGTGTGCGAGAGTGTGTGTGTGGTTAACATGAAACTATTAGCTGCTCCTCAGTAAGGAATTGACAAAGTCTGGCGAAATATTTGTTTGTTTCCGGCTTTATTTTCACCCAGCTTAGGGTTTTGTTACATTTGTATTTATATATATATATATATATATTTATATATGGAATATATAATATATATCTCTGATTTGCAATTTCGGTTAGAATTTCAAGAAACAGCTGCATACATGACTGTAGAAAGTCAGGTTTCAAAATCGAACCTGAAGGCAGGGAGCTGGTTCGAGCCGTGAACCGAACCACCAAAAGTTGTTCTATGCCCTGGCTTTACAGAACGTCTCTTGACCCTTCTAATCAACACAGAAGTTACTCAATTTGATTTATTAAAGAATGAATAAGTATATAAGTAGGTGCGAATGTGTGTGACGACAATGCAGTAGGTACAGGGTATCTACCAGTCGCTCACTCTCGACACGCTCGCTTAGGTGCATTAAAATGTGCAGCAGGTGGCGGGCTTGGCTTGACCATATTTTTATCAGCTGCCCCGCAAACACACACCTGCTTAAGTGGGTGTGCGTGTGGCGTCAGCTCAGTATAACAGATGACAGCTGCTCGCTGGCACCTTGGAGCCACCAGGCGCGCCACATGGTCGGCGTGCGAGACTCGAAATCATCGACATTGTAGTGCTCGATCTCCTCGTCGCAGCTCCAGCTGCCGAGAATGTTGGGCCGCTCCGCCAGGCTCGCGTTGGAGCTGAGATTGTGAGAGCTGTTGTTGTGCGGCTGTGTGGTTATTGTGATCATCAGCTCGGGTGTCAGGTCCTTTAGCTGCAGCTCCTGGCACTGCTGCTGGCTGCCCGCTGGCGAGGAGTTGCCGTAGCAGCAGCAGCAGCAGCGACAGATCTTGAGACACATTACGGGGGCAGGGCAGGGCTAAAAGAAGGGTAACTGAAATGAAGCAAGAAAAATGGCAATGTGAGGGTGTAAGGGAAATGTGTCCCAATGGGAGAGAGAAGGTGGGAAGGCGTCAGGACGAGCGAAGAAAGAGGAAAAAGAGGTTAGACAAAGACCACAAAAAAAAATGTAGAGATCACACAATTTTAATGATAAAAGGATTAAACAGCGACAGCGAAAGGCCATCAAGATGATTGGAATGAGAAAAGATAGATAGGGAGAGAGAGAGAGAGAGAGAGAGAGAGAGAGAGAGAGAGAGAGAGAGAGTGAAAGGGATATCGACAGTTTGACCAAAGATCAAGAAGGAAAGTAAACGAGGAAGAGATCAAAAAGGATATAAAGGAGGGATAGAAACAATAAACTATAGAAATTTGATAAAACAAAGAAAAAAGAATGAAAAGACAAAGAGAAACAGAGAGAACGAGAACGAGAGAAAGAAAGGAAGAGAGAGAGAGAGAGAGAGAGAGAGAGAGAGAGAGAGAGATGTTAGAAGATAAATGCTAAAAATAATCAGCTTTAAACAAAATATCTTTTATAAACAGATGAGATTATAATGAAGTGCGAAAAAGTTGGAAATAAAATATAATATAATAAAGAGAGGAAATAGAGAGGTAGTAAGGGAGATAATCTCAGAGTAAGATGAATAGAAAGAGAGAAATATAAATGAATAACAAAAATGAGATCAATTAATGTTAATAACTTACACAAACAATAGATCGCTGGGAATCGCAAGGCGAGGGACTCTGCCCCGAGTAGCAAGAAAAACTGAACTGTTAACTCTCGAAATCTGTGCATCTAGGTCTGCAGACTGGAGAGGATTGGACGATAGTCAAGGGTAGATCGACGCTGCTCCAAAGCAAGTTCTACACCAGCGCAGTGGCCCACGTCTCTCTGTGGAGCGATTGTGGCAAGCGTGAGTCGAGACTGTTGCAAGGCGCCGTTGCATGGCAACTTTTTATATAGACGCGAACAGAAATCAAACTAGACTTGCCTGCCCCACTCTGCCAGCCGCCACTAAACCAGAAGCAATTCTCATGTTTACAATTTATGTTTTTTGCCGGAATTTTGCGCCGGCAACTGTTTTACCAGACGAAGAGAAAGAGAGAGAGAGGGAGAGTAAGAGAGTAAGAGAGAGTGAGTTATGGGAGCAGCTCAATTGAATAACAAATTGTAACCGAATACAGTTTGGAGAATTCATAATCAGCAGCTGCGACAAACTCGATTTCGTTTCAAATTTATGCAAAATTCTGTCGATAAAATAATTATGCGGATTATTATTAAATCACTTCAAATTCAAAATATATATAAAAATAAATTATAATAAATTGTAAATTATGCTTAATACTGCGGCCATTCAAACAGTAGCTGGGAGGGGGGTTGGGGCTTACATATATGGGCCGAGCGGGCTGTGGGGGAGTAAATTGGATTGTGTTACCAATTTTGCAAAATGCAAATGTGTTGACGTCTAAAATTTCACGCACACAATGCTGCTAAATGCTGACAGTTGGCCAAAAAGGTTGTTTAGCCGGAAAGGCAACGGGAACTGAAACCTGGTGTGTAATTTTAGCCCAGTTCAAAAGAGAACTTTGAACTGCGCACAATTGATTTGCCAGCATTTCATCCTTTGATTGATTTGGCCAAGCACCTGACTAGAGTCAGCTTTCAGCTGGCTAAAAGGCGTAATAATGTGCGCCATTGCCGAGATCCACATCCGTAAAGAGTTCAATTTCATCTTTAATTGCCACGCCCGAATTGCGCTCACTGGAGGCGGCGGCAACGGTTTCGTTGGGCAGCGCCAATTCCGGCAGCAATTTGCTGGGATGCACATCCGCACGGATGCTAATCTCCTCGAGGTGTGCGGGTGAATGGGAGCCACGCATGGCGACCTGCTCCGGCTGCTGTGCTGGCCGCAATGTGTGCGCCATCAGCTCCGACTCCGGGTCTGGCATTGGCGCCAGTTCCAGCGGGTGCTTCGATGCTAGCTTTGTTAGCGCCCTGGGCTCCGGCTCCGGTTGCTCGATTTTGGTGTGACTATACGGCTGCTGTTCGAGCTGATCGGCAAACGTTTGCTCGTCGTCCTGATGCTGCTTGAAGCAGAAGGCAAACAACAGGCACTCGGCAAAGAAGCGCATCACTTGGCTGCCGGGCCAGAACTGGCCAATGGGAACGGCCGCCAGCGGCCAAGTGTCGCAATTATATAGACCGCGGCCTCGCCAGTTCCACTTCCAGTTCCAGTTGCTCACTTAATTGAAATGCAAATTGATTTTTTACTTTTGGCAAAGGTCTGTCAGCTGTTTGCTAATCGATCGATGCGAGGTCGCAGCAGCTGCTTCTTGCATTATTTTGTTATTTGTGTTTTTTTTTTTTGTTTTTCCTTCAGCTCAACACAATTTCACTTTTTTTTTTTGTTTCAGACAGTTTCAATTTCAATTAGCTGCCTGTTGGGCGCGTGCCTCAGTCAAATACAATTTACACTTTTCGTTGTCTACTTTTAGGCGCACTCAGTCCCCCCCACCCATCCGCCACAGCAAGCTTGTTCTTTAATGAGTTTTGCAATTATGCAAAGTTGAATATAATTACAACAGCAGCTTGAGCAGAAATTCAAAACAGAATTTAAATAAAAGCATCTACAACGGGGAGCCGGAGCTTATAAATACCCATACCGAATGCCCATCTACCCATAAACAATACGCTGCCAACAATTGTTAAATGCGCTACCCAAATTCAGACCCTCGATCCCATCGTGCGTTTGGCTACACACAATACCAAGTGGGCGGAAAAGTATGCCTGATACAGTCTGTACAGTCGACACTCAAGAGAATTTCCTCTTCTATCTAAATTTTTAATAGGTGCTGGCATCACGACGAACGTTTCCGTTCAGCTTTAGATTCAGCTTTTGCTTATACAGCTAATTCATTTTAGGGCTTCATTCTAAATAATACAGAATTGAAATTTCGGACTATGATATAAGATAACAACAAAGATAAGCCGATTTCATAGGGTGTTGTATAGTCAAAAGTGTTAAAAAAAAAACTTAAAATTGGAAATGAATGTGTATTTCAAATTTAGGATATCATTAAATATTCTGAATATATTTTCTTGGGCAATTGCAATTGCTGTTAGTGCTACCTAAGGAAGGACTACTGTACCACTCATATTCATTCCACAAGCACAGAATAACAAATAATAAATAAAAAATGAATGCTTTTGTGCAGAAGATTAAAAACAATGTTTACAAAAATGTTTGAAATAATTTACAAACAACAGTGGTTTCTGTTAATGAATGCGTAAAAATGAATACGAACGAAATGAAATAAGCTTCTCATTTATTCAGCTTTAAGCTGTAGTTCATCAGACAGAAATGTGGTTGGCAACCTTTGATATGCCGCTATGATTCATTTAAGTGTTGTGCCACGTACTTTTATGTCGTGAGCTCATTAAAATTGCGTAAACAAAAAAAAGAATTTACGACTATGTGTGAAAAGATGAAAGAAGAAAATGAAAGCATATTTGATTCAGTTCAGTTGGGGACGAAATTTAATGTTTGCAATGTGAAATTTGTTCAAGTATTCAATTTCATTTTAATTAATATTAAATGCAAAACGAGTTTCTTTTCTTAAGCTATTATTATGATAATATCGATAAATATCGATTTTGAAAGATGGTTTTATAAGCATTGCTCGTATATTATAACAGCTAGATTCCATTGTATATAATTTATATATATTATTTTGTCATGGGATGTATAACGCGTATAATGAGACATATCCGACCCCCAAGAGTACATATATTCCAGCTCAGCATCAAGAGCCGAGTTGATATAGCCATGTCCCTCTGTCCGTTCTTCCGTTTGTTTCTCTGTCCGTCCGTCTGTTTCTTTCTATGCGAACTAGTCTTTGCATAGGTCCGTTTCTTTTTCAATACATATATCGGAACCGGCCGGATCGGACAGCTATATCCTGCCATAGGAACGATCTGTCGAAAATTAGTTTCCCTTAAGATAACCCTTTCTGTTTTACTCTGCTCCTCATCTAAATCCGTAAGCTTATCAACATAGGCGTACTATATCATAAAGCTTTTATAGGAAAGATCGGTCGACATGCCAAGATATCTTGACCAAGCTCATCGGTTATTAATGTAGCTATGCTGCTTATATATGAGACAAATCCTACCAAGATCGCACTACTATATTATATAGTTCTATAGGAAGAATCAGTCGAAAAATGAGTTTTTGTATGGCGAAATAGTCTGCTTCCCAATATATTTTCATCAAACTCAGTATTAACTAGCAAATGTCTGCAAGGGTATTAAATCTTCGGCATGACGAGGATATCCCTTATTTCTCTTCTATTTTTTTTTGCCTCTTGTGGGCAGGCAAACTAGAAAAATATCAATGTCATTTACAGGCCTTGGGCTAAATTGGGGGTTGTTGCTGTCAGTTGTGTGTGTGTGTGTGTGGTTGAGAATGTTGTTGTTGTTGTTGCTGTTGTTAGCTGTCTGTTGCGTGTATTTTGTGCGTGTGCTTTTTTGCTGCTGTGGCACATCATTGCGGTTTCACATGGGTTGCCCGGCCATTTGCCACCCTGTGCAGTATATGCTAAGGTTGTTGCTGCCTGTTTATTTGGCTCTGGTCTCGTGCCTGTCAAACCAAGCGCATAACCGCAGTGAGACGCAGCAGCAACATCAGCAGCAGCTCCTGTGTGTCCACCCTGAATGGTGCTTGTGGAACGTTGCACGTTTGTCGGCTGCCACGCAGCTATTTTCAATTTGGTGTTGCATAAGTTCGAGCTGCGGCCAGCTGAAATGAAAGCTGCTGCAAATCTCATTTACTCACTTTTATACTCCATTTTTGTGGTTTCTTCTGCTGGCAAATCCATACACAAATCCGAGTCGCAGTCCGGACCGTGTGCTCCGCACTTGATTTAACCCCAAATTGAGAATCCATCTGTTTTCCTTCCTTTTTTTTTTTTTTGTTGTTGCTCCCTTTTTTCGGCAATGGTTTCTGTGGTTGCCTTGCCCCTGCCCCTGCCCCTGCCCCCTGTCTGCTGCTGCTGTTGTTGCTGCTGCTGCTGCGGTGGTCATGCCCACTTGATGCGTATTTAATTAACGTTAATTGAAATTGATTTATGTATGCAGTGTGCGTACGCTCACTCCGACTCTACCTACCCACCCCCCCCCCTCCCCCCTGCCTCGCAGCAGCGCCATGCTAGTCCCCTTTTGTTGGCCGTCAATCGAAAAATATGCTGCGGGATATTTGCGGCAAGTTGTTGAGTGTCGCCAGAGTCGTCGAGTCGCCACTCGCCCAACATTTTGCTGCACATTGGGGCATGAAAAATTTGCGGCTTCATTAAATTGATTAGGCAAAACAGAAAATTTTGGTCTTTTTGTGCCGCTGATTTCAAGCAAATTAATATATTCAATTGAAAAGTGCTTTTCCGGGTGCTGGCGAAAGGGTAAAAGAAAATGGAACAAACGCAGACAGAAAGCAGCTCAGTTTTTGGCCGAATTAGGTGTAGTTGCTTTTGGGGTGGAGAGGGGTAAATTATATAACCGTAACGGTAGTAGTTAGATGTCAACAACATCCAACAAAGGCTGCACTTCTCAATTGAAGTTACACAAAATTCTTTGAAAGCAAGCTTGAAGACGCTCGTATGGTAAATAAAACGATTAACTTAATCATTTTCCGCGAACTTTCCACACTTGCGGGTGGAATTCCTAAAAATCCCTGTCTTAGCTTGCACTTAAATGGAATATATCTCCCTCTCAGTTTGTTGTTGAGCTCAATTTTCAATCATGTTTTAAAAGTATTTGACTACAAATCTGTCTAGAAACTTTGGTAATTTTAGATTGATCTCTGTCATCATCAATTAATTATTTTGTAACAGTTTATTTTTATTTAAAGTATATTAAAATTAATAATTAAAGTAAGTTTCTTG